ATATCAAACTGCAAAAAAATATGAGTATGGAATTGAGGGGAGCTTAATTACTGGAGATATTCTGTAAAAAGTTTCAAAAGGAAAAGAATTTGGGTATGGAACTTGAAGGTCAAGTTCAATTTGGAAAGGTACAGTGAAGGAAAAAATTAGGTATTTTAGGCTAGTCTTTTCAAGTGAGGAAATACAAAGAGAATGAGGAAATTGTTGAAAATTATGCTGGTAATTATGATTTAGATCAGCTAATACTTACTGACCACTTCTTTTGTTTTTCCAAAACAATTTCTAAGTGCATTACTTACATTATCTCAGTACTCTCATCAATTTTATGGGACAGGTACTATTATTATTTTCATTTCAATGATTAAGAGTGCTATGCTTGAATGGTCAAATCACATTCTAGTAAATTACAGAGCCAAGGTTTCAGGCCAGACATGTATAACTGCAGAGTTCATTCTCTTTCCAACATTGTATTCTATATTCTTCTCCTAATCATATTAAGATAGGCTTTGGGTAAGAATATCTTTCTTGAGAATATCCTGATACACTAATAAAACTGGTATATAGTATTAAGGACTACTTATTTCTGAACCTTTATATGAAATAAAGTGATTAAGCACCAGAATTATATTTTACTCAACTCTGTATCACTTACATCTTCCATTATATTATCTTTCACAAAAAAAGTTGAGAAATTCTTGTTGGATTTAATGCACTTATCAAAGACAATGCTTCTAATGTGAAAATAACATTTGGAGAGGAGTCACTGTTTTGGAAAAGCATGCCCAAAGAATTGATATTATTATGCTAGATAATTAAAAATCAAGATCTTTTAAAATAAAACCTAATATAATAATATGACTAAAATATTAAGTATTTAAATAGAATAACCAAGTAATTTTCTCTAAGAATACCTAAAGAAACAAACTTGAGACACTATAGACTGAATGGTCACTAACTTCTGATCCATATAATTTTAGAGTTACTCTTTCAGGAAAACTATCTTTGATTTGATAAAGGAAGAAAATTTTATAATTTGATAGACAGGACTGTTTCAAAATATTTAGAAAAGAATCTGAGGATATAAAGCGGAATGAGACAACTGTTTTGCTAGAGTATATCATGTATCAAATAATATTCAGAAGTTATAGTGGACTCAATACTCTTAGAGATCAATATACTCCTCGTGATGTAACACATGGCATTAACAAAACAAAACAAAACAGAACACACAACAAAAAAGATACTTGATTCAAAAACAAAATAAACATTTTCTTGTACCAGAAGCAAGAAAATTTAAAGTAGAAGATTGTTCTTTACTGAACTTAACCACAATCAGCAGCAGCCTGGGATTCAGATTTGGATAATTATTAAAAACAAATGCTTAGGCAACATACCACTGGACCCAAGTTCATGGGTTATAGTGAAGACTATGTTGGGACTTTGCTTCTCATAAAATAATCCCCAATATTCCCCAAATTCACACCTGGGAACAACTCACAAAATTTAATACAGTTTTAGGATGTAATCTGTATATGAGATAAGTTACTATCTTGTTGAATGAATGTCTGATAGTCACACTATCTCCCATAAAACAGTCCCAAAATTCTAATGTAAGACATGTGTTTTGACTGTGGAAACCCAGGACCAAGCTAATGTAACACACCCTCACTCAACAGGTATAGGTAAGCATAGTGGAAGACAGACACAAGAATTAAAGGATCAAACAGAAAACTAAGGGATCAAACTAAAACTTCCTCACAAAGTAAGACTTTAAATCATTTTCTAATATATATAAAATTTCTTATTTTGAAAACCACAGTAAATAAATTAGCCAGGCATGCTGGCAGGCACTGTAATCCCAGCTACTCAGGAGGCCGAGGCAGGAGAATAGCTTGAACCCGGGAGGTGTAGGTTGTAGTGAGCCGAGGTCGTGCCAGTACACCCCAGCACTGACAGCAAGAGTGAAACTCCATCTCAAAATTAATTAATTATTTAATTTAAAAATTAAAAAAAAAATCAGACATAGATTCACTGCAAGGAAAATCAATGTTATGGACCAAGATAACAAGATTTCAAAATGATATTTAGGAAGCTCAAAGACACAAATGAAATAATAACATTCAAAACAGAAGACTAATGAATATGAAACATTTCCAGAGTGAAAAAAAATGACTAGGTCCTATAAAAAACAATTCTGAAATTTGGGGGAAAATATGGCTATTGAAGTAATACAAAAGTCACTATATGTGAAGTGAATTTTGTCTAGCTATTATTGAGAAAGAAATTATATCACAGAAGAAAATAATGAAGAATATGTTAAAAATATATGCAGAGACACAAACACATGCACATACTCGCTTTTGGCACCTTGAAATGACTTTTGATTATGTCATATTTATGGAATTGGACAAACAACACTTCTACCCCAACAAATCCCTAATCAATAGAAAATGCAACACTGTTATCCGTAAACTTAACATTCTGTATTGAAATAATAAACATTATGTATTGGAACATATTTCCCCAGAATATGCTTTAAAACTATCCTGGTGGAAAAAAAATAAAAAATTTTAAATGATTCTTGGGAAATAAAAGATAAACCACAAAATGATAGGAAATTTCTTCTAAAACACTGAATAGTTTTTTAACAGCTAATTTGAACTATAGCATTACATTTTAACTAGAAATAAAGATGTAGTTGTTTACAGCATTAAATATTTGGCAAGCTTTAATTAATGCAAAAAACTAAGCCAAGTGTGAATGTATTCCTTTAACAAGTTAAATCTTATTTTCTTCCTGCATCCTGTTTTCCAACTGGCAGGGTTGAATATAAGATTATTGTTTAAACAGATCACATTATATGTCTTACACAGCTAGCATTTCTTTTTCCTGTGAATGTGAAAATATGTACCACGTTTTTATACTCTGGGCCAAAAAAATAAAGAAATTATAATTTTGATTTTTAAAAAAGAAATGGCCCAGTGCTGTGCCTCATGCCTGTAATAATAGCACATTGAAAGCCTGAAGCAGGAGCATAGCTTGAGGCCAGGAGTTTGGGCAACAGAGCAAGACTCCGTATATACAAAAAAATTTTAAAAAGATAGCCAGGGATGGTGATGTGTGTTTGTACTCCTAGGTATGCTAGAGGCTGAGGTAGGAGGATTGCCTGAGCCTAAGTTTTCGAGGCTACAGTGAGCTACGATCAAGGCACTGTACTCCAGCTTGGGTGACACAGTGATACCCTGTCTCTATTAAAGAAAAATAATAATATAAGAAAAAAATCTTTTTTCCCCTTATATTCGGAGAAGAGAAATAAAGCTGTTTACAATCTCAGAGATCACTATCTTTGGTAATTGGGTAGGTCTAGGTGAAAATACCAACAGCAGTATTTCTGATGAAATTACTAACCTGTCTTAATGATTTCACAATATATTATTTTTCATAGCTTCTCTTCTAGGAACAATGTTTTTTAAAAGCATGATTACTTAATTGCCTGCCTAGGGGGAGAATTATCTGGTGAAAACTGCAGTCTTCTGGAAATAAAAATTCAGTTATGATTAAATCATTGAATAAACATGCTTTGTTAATTGAGATTCAAGTCATTTCTTCACTTACATTGTAAACCTAAAGAACTTGGCTTTATTATCTTTTCTCAAAAAGAGGAATTTGAAAAGGCATACTTGATGGAGAAGATCCTGGGCTTTAGCAATAATTAGAACTTAAATCTCAGCTTTGCAACTCAGCATTTAAGTTACATGGCAATGGAGAAATAAAATCAACTGTTCAATCCTCATGTTTATTATCTACAAACTCAGATTTATAATATTTGCCTTGCAGAGTACATGTGACCATCAAATAAAATAATGTGTTAAAACACTGAGTACTGTCTATGTATGTTACCCCTTATCAAAATGTGCATTCTACATTGCACAAAACTTCCATTGAGCATGCAACAATAAGCATTTACGTGTGCTCACAAGTCTATGCATCTTCAAAACAGATGTTATCAGGGCTACACATGACTGAAATCAGTTAGGCTTATTCAGGAATATGTGGTTAGTTGGCAGGAAAATGAGGGATCACTTGGTCTCAGATGCCTTTAGCTGGAATGATTTGGCTCTGCTCCACGTGGTTCCATCATCCAGCATGCTAGCTGGCACCTGTTCTCCTAGTGATGGTGGTGCTAATAAGAGGGATGTGGTGTCTGAGAGTGAAGGTAGGGGTGCACAAGGCCTCCTGAGCCCAGACGTAAACTGGTACACAATTATTTCTGCTGCTTTCCATTGGTCAACACAACTCTCAGGGCCAGCTCTGATTTGAAGAGTGGAGAAATAGACTCCAATTCTTAGGATGGTTTGCAAATTTTACTAAACGGGGCATAAATACAGAGGGAAAGATTCAGGTCCATAATTGCAATAAATCTATTAGAATCTGATGGAAAGGAAGCAATCATAAACAGAATAATTCTACTATCTCTGTATAAACACTATGCATAAATTAGCTGCTATATCCCTCAAAAAGGGCAATACTGGATGCATAACTGAATTCAGAATGTAGAGTACTGGACTTCTTAAAGGTGTACATTATGAAGTTATTTCCACTTAATAATTTCAAAAATTTGCTCTCATCTGGAATAAAGATTCTCTTGTGTATCTCTTACCAGGCTACCTCTATAGTCCACTCTCATACCTCTCACCAGCCCCTCCTATAAACCCACACTGAGCTTATTACAGGGGTTGTGCACTTATTCACCACTCTTCTCACTCTGTTTGTTTAATCTGGCAGATACCTTCACACAAACTCCAGGCTAAAGCATGTACTAGTTGGACACTAATCACATCGTATGCTTCTTTCAGAGCTTAAGATCTTTATGTCAGCCTCCTCCACTAGATCACAAGCTCCTGCAGCAGAATTTTCACTATCATCTCCATAGCCCCACTTCCTGGAACATAGAGAAGCTTAATGCATTTTTGATGAAGAAAGAAATGTGTCTTGTCTTTGTGTTCACTTCAGCAGCACATACACTAAAATTGGAACGATACAGAGAAGATTAGCATGGCCCCTGTGCAAGAATGACACACAAATTCATGAAGCATTCCACGTATTTAAGTGGGTGAAGGATATGAACAGACACTTTACAAAAGAAGACATTTATGCAGCCAACAAACATATGAAAAATACCTCATCATCACTGGTCATTAGAGAAATGCAAATCAAAACCACATTGAGATACCATCTCACGCCAGTTAGAATGGCGATCATTAAAAAATCTGGAGACAACAGATGCTGGAGAGGATGTGGAGAAATAGGAATGCTTTTACACTGTTGGTGAGAGTGTAAATTAGTTCAACCATTGTGGAAGACAGTGTGGCAATTCCTCAAGGATATAGAAATAGAAATACCATTTGACCCAGCAATCCCATTACTGGGTATATACCCAAAGGATTATACATCATTCTATCATGAAGACACATGCACACGTATGTTCACTGTGGCACTGTTTACAATAGCAAAGACCTGGAAACAACCCAAATGCCCATCAAGGATAGACTGGATAAAGAAAATGTGGCACATACACACCATGGAATACTATACAGCATGTCCTTTGTGGGGACATGGATGAATCTGGAAACCATCATTCCCAGCATACTGACGCAAGAATAGAAAACCAAACACCACATATTCTCACTCATAGGTGGGTGTTGAACAATGAGAACACATAGACACAGGGAGGGGAACATCACACACTGGGGTCTGTTGGGGTATGAAGGGTTAGGAGAGGGATAGCAGGGGGTGGGGAGATTGAGGAGAGATAACTTTGGGAGAAATACCTAACGTAGGTGACAAGGGATAGAGGCAGCAAACCACCATGGCAAGTGTATACCTATGTAATAATCCTACAAGTTCTGCACATGTATCCCAGAAATTAAAGTATAATAAAAAATATATTAAAAAATAAAAAAATAAACTGCAAATGGAACAATAATTAGGATAGCTTAGTTTTACATGGAACCAAATGACCTATAAAAAAAGAAAATAGAAATGTGTCTTTCACAAAATTATCATCTGTAGTGAATGGTGTTTCATAGATTCACTTATTTATTTATTAATTTATTTCCCATCAGGGCAGAGCACTGTGGTAAAGATAACAGTGACAGAAGAAGCAGATAGCAGATTCTATTGCCAAGAGTATTTCAGTCGTAGTGGGAAAAAGACAGATCTAGAGAGAAATACCATCAAGTACTATTTTTCACAGCAAATTCCAGTGTGATAGTCAACCTAGATTATGCAACATCCAGACTGTTTCCTCCATTAGAATAAAATAACAGTAGATCTTGACTGTAACTATTTTAAACATTATTTTTATTACATTTTCTTTATATGAAAGTGAATGCACAATATAGCATATAAGATTCCCTCCAAATGTAAGAAGTAGATGATTAACAAACACACTGTCAATTTTAAATTTAAAATTTAGGTATTTATACATAAATATGATACTAAGTGTGGACTAGAAATGTATAGAGCCAAAAAATTATACTGGGATATAGCTATGATGATAGGACACAGTCATCATGGCAAATGTTAGCAATTTAATAGCAACACAATAAACAGATGAAACATGCAAACTTAATAAAGAGGCAACCAATGTGATATTTAAAAAGATCCAATTAATTGTATGCTTTGTATTTTAATAATGTAATTTTATATGAATGTCGCTCAAATGATTGGCTAGATATAGCTATTTCTCACATGATATTTGTGGAAGATATACCCAGAATTAGTACTTTCTTTGCTTGTTAAAATTACCAAATGGAATAATTGTTAGTAAACTAACCAGATACTTAATGGTGACTAGTAAACAGTTCATCTAATAAATCTTGTAACCCTAATTTATGAATAGGGATTTTGTAATAAGAAGGTGTTGTTGAATCCTAAGGGTATATCAGAATTGTGTCATGACAGTTTTCACACATCAATTAAGCACAATGAAATCCTGGGAACTCCTTATTCACCAAACCAACAGATAAGATTATTCGTTTTTACAGTAATATAACTAATAATTTTATCTGAAATAAATCATTTTAAAAATGATTATTCCTGCATATACAATTTTAAGACATTTTGTAATGACAAAACTGTACATAAAAATAAAAATCTTTATAAAATATTTATATGCATTTTATACATTTGAGGTTATTTAAAAGAAAAGCAAAAGTATTATCATTATAATCATACATTAATTCACTTTTCTAATGGAGACCTTAATGTCAAGAGAGAAATGAAAATTCTGTATACTGAGATATGTACAACATTTCTGATATCCCCATCTTAAAAATAATACATTTGTTGAAAAACCTTTCAACACTTCTGTTTAATGGTAATATTTTTTAATGAATCTTCTTTAAGGAGACAATCTAGTACATTTTATCCTGAGTAGCCAGTGATATGAATATTTTTTACTATATTTGCTGCTTAAGATATATGATCCTCTAGCTGAGGTTACAACCATTCCATAATGTTTTAAATATATTCATTCAATAACTCTTGTTGAATGCCCAATTTTTTTCCCTTTCACTGAGAATAAGAAGTAAAAAAGAAAAAAATGAAGGAAATGACAGTTCTCAACAGGCTGCTAGTTCTGTTAACATGGAGGATATGTGACCACCATCAGAGTATGTCCCTAAATGATACAATGCCCTGGGTCATTTATCACATTGCAATGAATTTTTACAATTCACTATGGGTTTTTAGGAGTGTGTAACACCATCAGGGAAATGAACATGTCTTAATACTATTTCATTGCATTTATGACAAAAATTCTCTCATTTATGTTTTCAAGAAATGGTATGTAGATTAAGATATCAGAGATTGTATAGTTTTCAATTGTTGTCAAGTGAAGTAATAAAACATATATGTCACTCTGAGACCATACATTTCCAGCTCTGTTCTTAGTAGGGGAATCTTGTTTAGTAAGTATTTGCTAAGCACAAACTACAAGTAGGGATACTGTTTCTTATACTGGAAACCCAAATAAAAATCAGTTTGAGCTTTCAGTTTAGCTTGTACTAAATGCAAACAGCAACAATAAAAATACCTATTCAAATCTCAACTCTTCTGTATTTAGCATTTTTAATATTATTTTACATTGACATATATTATATTTTTAATTGTTTTAATATTTGTCTAATTATGAAAATCTTGATATATTACAACTCTGTTGATATCTTAAGCTCTATTAGAATAAAAACATAAATATGTGAAGAAAATTACTCACAATCATCTGAGTTATTTTTTTTTGTAGGAAGGGAGAAAGAGAGGAAGGCAGGAAGGGGGGAAGGAGGAAGGGAGGGAGGGAGAGAGGGAGGGAGGGAGAGAAGGGAAGGAAGGAAATCAAGCAATGAGAGAGACATTGCCTACCTGGATCTAGAGGTCTACAAGTTGATTTCTTTTCTTCTTTTTTTGAGAGAAGGAAAGAAAAAAAAGGAGTGAAGGAGAGAAATAAAGAGGAAGAAAAAGAGGGAGAGAGAATGGAAATGTTGCTTTATTCTAAAAAAAAATAGGTATTAATAATGGTCAATCACTATTTCATTTAAACCTATGAGTAGGTGTGATGTAGTATTAACAAGAATGTATATTTTGTGTATTTAAAGTGGAGAGCTCTATAAATATTTATTAAGTTTACTTGTTCCAGATCTGAGTTTGAGTCCTTGATATCCTTATTAATTTTCTGTCCCATTGAGTCTTATGTATGTGGGTGTTAGGATCGTTAGCTCTTATTGTTGCATTGATCCTTTTACCACTATATCTTTGTTGCATTAAAATCTATTTCATCAGATACGAGAATTGCAACTCCTGCTTTTTATTTATTTATTTATTTTTGCTCTCCATTTGGTTGGTAAATCTTTCTTCATCCCTTTGTTTTTAGTCTTTGTGTATCCTTGCATGTGAAATGAGTCTGGATGTAGCCTACCGTTGGGTTTTGGCTATATCTTTTGATTGGGGGATTTAGTCGATTTAAATTTAGGATTACTGCCATTTGATGTTAACTGGCTGTTTTATCCATTCGTTGATGTAAATTCTTCTTTATGTTGATGCTCTTTACTTTTTGGTATATTTTTAGAAAGGCTAATACTGGTTGTTTCTTTCTATGTGTAATGCTTCTTTCAGAAGCTCTTGTAAAGCAGGCCTGGTGGTAATAAAATCTCTGAGTACTTGCTTGTTCATAAAAGATTTTATTTTTCCCTCAGTTCTGAAGTTTTGTTTGGCTGAATATGAAATTCTGGGCTGAAAGTTCTGTTTTTTATGGATGTTGAATATTGGCCCCCACTCTCTTCTGGCTTGCTGAGAGATCTGCTGTAAGTCTAATAGGCTTTCCTTTGTGGGTAACCTGACCTTTCTCTCTGGCTGCCCTTAGTATTTTCTCCTTTGTTTCAACCCTGGTGAGTCTAACAATTATGTGCCTTGGGGTTGCTCTTCTTGAGGAATATCTCTGTGGTGTTCTCTGTATTACCTGGGGTTGAATATTGTCCTGTTTTGCTAGTTTAGGAAAATTTTCCTGAATAATATCCTGAAGAATATTTTCCAGCTTGGATTCATTCTCTACATCTCATTCAGGTACACCTATCAAACATAAATTTGGTCTTTTCACATAGTCCCACATTTCTTGGAGACTTGGCTCATTCCTTTTTATCCTTTTTTCTCTAATCTTGTCTTCTCGTTTTATTTCATTAAGTTGGACTTTGACCTCTGATATCCTTTCTTCTGCTTAAACAATTCGAGTGTTTAAACCTGTGCATACTTCTCGGAGTTCCCATATTGTATTCTTCAGTTCCATTAATTCACTTATATTCCTCTCTAAGTTGTCTATTCTCATTAGGATTTCGTCAAACCTTTTTTCAAAGTTCTTAGTTTCTTTACATTGGACTACAACATGTTCTTTTAACTCACAGAAGTTTCTTATTATCCATCTTCTGAAGCCTGATTCTGTTAATAGGATGAACTCGTTTTTCATCAAGCCTTGTTCCCTTGTTGATGAGGAACTGTGATCCTCTTTAGAGGGAGAGGCGTTATGATTTTGAGTATTCTCTGCCTTTTTACGCTGGT